CCAGACAAGAAACTCCTGAAGAAATATCTGTACCTAAAAAGTCCGTGACCATCTACCTCCCCTTCAAGGGTGATAATGTGTCAAACGTGATCAAGCGACGACTTAGGTGCACTATCGAAAGGACGTATGCCGCCTCTAAATTGTTGTTCATAAGTACCACAACCGCCATCCCAGTTAGACCAGCAAAATGCGAGTTAGTTTTGTAAATTGGATTTAAGTGCAGAGCGTTAGACCTACTAGCACATTATTAATGCATTACTATGGCCCACACGTATTTTACAAAACCAAACCCGCGAAGCGACCTCTAAATGAGAAAAGTAACCTTATGGATTTACACCCCAAATATAAGCGTATTTAAAACAAATGTTTCATTTTAAAGGCCAATAGTATTTTTGGAAAATAAGCAGACGCACTTAATGTCACTAAAATGAATTCAATATTTGGCTGGTCTAACGACATAAATTATGTTTCTAAATATCCCATGAGCATCTAATGCTAATAACGGTTATTTTCGTGGTGTTTTAACGTCATTAAACTAATTTTTAATGTCATACCACATCGTACATACTAATTATTGTCATATATACTATGAACATACTATAAGTTCTCCGTGTTTATATTTTTGTGACATTGTTCTGTATTCGTGTCTCCATGGGGGTTCGATCAGTTTAATATGATTAGAATTAGTGCAATAATTCAAAGTGAGCTCCATGAGTAATAATGCTATGAGTAAAGGCCGAAGTGGTCACTAGAAATCAATGAGAAAAATTCATGCTCCTGAAATGGTCATTTTTTACAGACTGTGGTGTTTGCATGAGGCCGGAAAGAAATTCGTTCGAAAGCCGGCATCCCGAGATAACTGAATAATTGTAGAATTATGTTGCATGATGGTTGACTTTACAACCCTATTTAGGTAGTCTTCTCAAAACGAAAACTCACTTCAGAATATCAGTTAGCATTTCTTGAGGTTGCACACCAACTGTGCTATCTCCTTTGGGCATGCGTAACATCCGATTAGATAGTTTTTATCACAGGCGTTATTATTCCTTGACCTGCATTGACTTTTCAGTCGTAAAGAAAAATATTTAAGAGTAGGTGAGAAGTAATGTATGAATCTGATGTATTGAAGACTACTGTGTCTGTGTATTCGCGGTGGTGCCTTGACGTAAGTCGAAAATTTCGTCAAGGCAATCGAACGAAGAGTTGTCGCGTTCTCTCTTTAAGTCGTTTTAACTTCGTAACATCTGACCCTCTCCCTTCTCCCGACCTCTTGCATGGTTTATCGTTTTAAATTAAATGCCGCCAGTTGTAAATATCGCCTCGAATACGATCTGCACTTCATTTTGTCGGTCATTTACTGATCCTCGGCCCGAGGCTCGGATGTCCTGCGGTTTCTCGAGTTGGAACCAGGATAATGCAGAATTCACGGCGTCGACCGTTAGTGGAGAGCATAGTTAATTGAGCTGTAGTACTTACTTATCTGCATTTGATGCAGCCGTGATAATGGCCGACCTAACCAGACTCAGTGATGTATCGAACTGTAAATCGGCGACAGTGAATCTGGAAAGCTTGACTCATTCACTTATCCAGCGTTGGAAACCGAATGCAAAAGGCCGAAGTATATCGTCCGTGTTCTAAAGAACGGTTTCAACCCAGGTTTAATGGTGATCTTCTCTTCAATGCCTCGAAGTGGGCACCGACGTCAGATCGAGAGTAGCAACACTGCGATCGTGAAGCGCATGTCGATGGACGTGCCCAAACCACCTGGGTCGTCTTCCTTGGATGGCTCTGGGTGTCCTCTCGAGGTTGCAGCGAGTGCTGACTACTTTATCTGAGGTAATGTAGCTGCAATTCGCTCGAACTACGGTCCTTAGACAACGATGGTCAGACTCCTCAAGTGTTTGCTTATTTTCCACCCAGGCAACGCAGAATTAACAGGCATAAAAACTGTTTTGGGAGAGTCCTGGTACGGTTGGACTTTTGTGATAATCAACACATCGTTAGGGGTCTATAAACACATGCTTGGAATTGTGGAAACCAGTGATCCCAATTGTTTCGTAAGAGGATATCGCCTTTTATTATCCATTTTTCCATCGACCTCGCCAGGGGATTTGAAACTGCCTACATCTTCATATATCTTTAACTCACACACGGTTTCTGGTTATGGTCACAGGCGCAGCTGGGAAAAACGTTGGCCTTCCTAAAGTTCATGGATGAATCGACCAATCCAGCGACTTCATATACCCCTTCCGCCAAGGCATGAGACTAGAAGGACGACATCGCTGGTGTGATCGGGATCGGTGGTCCGACCCTGGAGCGTAAAAGCAACATTGTCGACATCATGTAATGCCCTTCCGCTAGCTCAGTCAGTAGCGTCGTTGAACAACATGAACGATAAGGTAAAGCCTCTTCGAACGATAGGTCGCTTTTTACTGCTCGGGCGGTACAGGATTCTGGCCATAGCGATGAATTCCGCCGGCATGCCATGTAGCATCCTCATACGTCATAACGACTCACAATTTGCAGAATCGAATCCTGGCGCAAAGTAAACAAAACAGACGGTCTTCGGTTGATGCTAGCCATGAGAGAGTTAAAAAATGTGTCACGGTGTGAATATCTGGTCCGCGCATCCACGCCCAGCGCGAGTCACAAGTTCCTTAAAATCGTCTCAGAATGGCAACCGAGGAAACCCCTGCAACAAGGCTGATTGGGCTCACCTCGCGGTGGTCCTCGTAAGCCGTCCAATCACTTACTGGATCCAGGACAGCAGAGTTTCAGCAAACGAATTGCAGATTTCAGTGAGAAAACCGTCCTCTACGAAGATCTTTTGTTGTGCGGACTCCGTGCCTCATGAAAGATGTCTTCCTGGGGGAATTCATACATGACGCTGCATTGGCCGCAGATAAGTGAAACTCTGCTTCAGAGCTGACCGGGCGCTCAAAGTGCGCATTCCAGCGCTCGCCTACAGCCGATTTGTCAACAATAACGTCGCCATTCACATAACAAACAACGTAGCCCAATGCAGAGTGCATATCACCGACTTGGTCAGTGTTTTAGTAGTTTATGAGTGTTGCCAGCGTTTGAGAACTTCCCCATGAAAGTAGTAATTTTAGCCCAGTAGATTTTGTCGTCATTTCTAGTCGGATTCATCGTTACTTTCCAGAGTTGACTAAAAGGATCATTTAGCATGGTAGTCGGGACCACAAAAGTGTACTCTTGTACGAGCACGTAAGATGAGGCAAAGATGATTTGTGTCTTGTAATATTAACGCAATAATATGAGTGACTGACGGGCTGGCCGAACTACTGAATTAGCTAGTGTTAGTCAGTAGTAAATGCTGAAGTGAGTGAGTATTCCTCTGAACCCTTAATCAAGAACTGACAGTGTGCAGATCTCATCAGTACAATACGGACGTCTGCTGAATATTCGAGACTCCAGTCCCGGAATCGCAACTCCGGTGAATCAGGATCCCGGAGCAAATGCTCAATTCAGCAGTTACCATAACGACGCATGCGACTTTTGGCGTGAGAATGTGTAAGGATCTTCTCTCAGGAGGACAGTATCATGCATTACGGACATGTGAGCCAATAAATGGCTAACTTACGCATGTGTGTCGGGAAGGCCAGTCGTCTACCATCCCTGCCACTTCTATCCACCTGCCGACACTAAATGCCGGTGAGCGCGGTAAAGAAATGCACTGAACGCACTGTCATCGTACGCTTCTGCGCTTTTAGCTTACCCGCCACTAGAGGGGGAGGAGGAGAAGGAGGAGGAGGAGAACAGAAGGAGAAGGAAAAGAAGTGAAGGAGGACGATGAAAGGGGAAGGAGGAGAATGACTGGTGGAAAAGGAGGAGGAGGAGGAGGAGAAGGAGGAGGAAGGTGATGATGATGGGAGGAGAAAGAAAAGATCGTTCTGAGTTTCGAGCTGTGAGTCGATAAAATGCTTACGTCCGTCAAATTATTGAACTCGGAGCAAACGACACCGGTTTGTTTTATTGCCCCGCAACGACGCTCTACGCCATTAGTCACTGATCTCTTTGACGAAATGTGGTGCCGAAACTAATGCATACTTATAAGAAAGCCTACTACCGCGCCAGTATTGTACAAGCGCTGGTCCGTATTCGGTAGGGCCTGAACAAAGGTTGCAAGTTTTTAACTACGCTGTCTGCATGCGTTCTATACAGGGATTTCTGAAGCGACCTGCGTTTAAAGGTCGTTAATAAACCACAGGGCAAAGGCCGACTTGTCTGGACTGCAGTAGGTATATCGCCTCAGTAACGTGAATGTGTGATGACTCACAGAACAGAGTAAGTCTGATGAATTACGTTCCTGAGCTAACTGGTTTTCTCATCAACGCCGAGAGTGCCTGATTGTTAATTAGGCGGATCTGGTCAAATCCTCTTGTACCTGCCTAATGAGCTCTGGCTGGGCTATTTATCTGGGGGAACACATCATCTTCATCAGCTTGCGTTATGAATTCGTATAGAACCGAAACCTACTGCCTAAATTTTAATTCCCCCACGGTTTTCTCATTGCTGACAGGCCACACGGCAGTCGACTTTGAACTAGATGTACTTCATCCGCGACTTCTAACTACCTTAGCCTTATTTAAAGAAAGGCTTGTGGTTTCCTTGTTTTAATAATTGACCTTACTCTCATGCCGTCTATCACCTAATCGAATTCGCTGTGTGCCGCAGTCAGCCAATCAGAACCCGTGGGTCATCAGTGCATTCGCGCGTGCATGCGTGTGTTATTTGTGCGGCTTCTTTTTGGTAATTAACCCCCTTCTGTGCTAACTATCACCCAATCGAGTCAGCTGTTGGCTGCAGCCGGCCAATGAGAACCTGTAGGTCGTCAGTGCGTGCGTGCGTAACATGGGAGAGCACAATATAAGACAGCATTTGTGGCACTCATGACATTCCGTCTGTCTGTCACCTTCCGGTTATTCTTCGAAATGGCGCAGTCACAAGCAGAAGTATTCGAAGACCGATTTCCCCTGATGCAGAGCTGTCCTGCATTGAACGAAATTCGACTTGCTCACGACATCAAGGAGTTGACAATAGAGGTAGCTCCTCTTACCGTGTACATTTGTTCGTGTGTCAGGTTCACGACGGCAATGCTCTCCATGCTCATCGAATAGTACTAGCAGCTCGCATTCCGTCCTTGCGAGGGGCACTTAGTGACGTCCATGGGGAGGGGACTTCGGTCCTAAGGTGGCCTACGGTGCCTATCAGGTCGGTTCTTTGATTTTACTTACCGCATATGCGATTTCATAGCCTCGCAACTACACTCGTCCAGTACGTGTACACTGGTCAAGTGGAGATTACACAAAGTAATGTGAAGGGCATGGTTGTGCTTGCAAGAATGTTGAAGCTCCCTGGCCTGGTTAACTGGGGAGTGGCGTTCATGTCTAACAGGTACATATTTCTCGATTATCCCTATCTAACTGCCTATTTTAAAGAGTTAGTTTAGAAAATCTACCAGATACGTGGGACTTTGCCAGGTATCTGAATGTCGAATTACTAGCGGAAAAGTGCATCGGGCTGATGAAGGCGCACTTTGAGGACATCGTCCCAACTGAACTCTTTATTCGCTTACCGGCCGGAACCATGCTTAGCTTGCTTCGAAGTGAAGATTTGTCTGTGGCATCTGAGGAGCAAGTTATTGCGGCTATCGCACGGTGGGCAAGTGCTGGCGACGAAGCTGCTGCTGACGATGATGAGAAGTTAAGACTGCACATTCCGGCGATGCTGAAAGAGGTGCAGTGGCACCTTACGAGCATCCAATGCCGCGATCGCGTAAAGGAGAGCTACCCAACACTGCAGAAAAGCCCTGAATGTCTGTAAGTACAGGGTGTTTCATCCTTGTTATGCTTTACTTAAAAGTCAACTTATGCTTCAGGTTGAGAACTGGATTGGCGCTTCAGATAAGGGCAAGTCGCCCTGTCCATTCAACCTCAGGCCAGGCAAGACGTCCTTGTCCTTTGGAGCAGACACTCATCAGACAGTCTTCCTGTTTGGAGTAAACAAAACTCGAGACGGGTTCTCTGTCCTCCGGGTCGATCCACAGCACCAGCAGGTAGAACGCGTCGCTGACATGAGAGAGCCCCGGTACGCCTCCTACAGTGTCGTGGGCGGTGAGTGGCCGGCCAGTTATGCTGCCTTCCCAGCGCAGACTGACTTTTACTTCCGTTTTATTGATATCCACTGCCTCTGGGCGCAGCACCAGAACACATTTGCCATGGGCATAGGGATTCCAAGCTCTTGAGGATGTTCATTGCATCAGCTGCATTTTATGTCTTGAAATAAAAAATAAAGTGTGAATTAGACGCTTTGGCAAGTAAATGTTTTCGCCTTGATCGGCGCCTGCTTGCAGCCATTTTAGTCAGACGGCAGATCTGACAGTTATTGGGTGCAAAGTCTCTTGACCCTCAGCGGGAAGCTTATTGCATTACTTTTTTTCTCCCCACCATCCCCCCCCCCACACGGAAGAGAGCATTTTCGTTGTTGGAGGAGGAGTGTTTGGCTCAAAGTCAAATGTTGATGAATTTCTGGCGAAAGAAGGACGTTGGCGCGAACGGGCGCCCCTCACGGCTGGACGCGGGTGCCACGCAGCCGCAGTCGTCAAGGTTCCCGCCGCCACCAAAAAGGTAGGAGAGACGCTGATTTGCATTTTCGGTGGATACAGCGGAGTTTCACGACTTTCCTCTTGTGAAGTCTATGAAATCAGTCAAGACAGGTGAGAAGGCGCTCGTCGCGGCCCCTTTTTTGCCAGAAAAACTTCCCTTTACTCGCTCATTCACCCGCCTGCCCGTCCCGCCCAAACAGATGGCATAAATTGCCCAGTCTGCCGGAGGAGAGGACCAGTCCAGCTGCTGCCAGTTTGCCCGGCGACAATCGGGTCTTCATTTTTGGCGGTTTCGACGGCTCCTCCGGGCTTGCTTCCGTGGTATTCTGCCACCTGCGAGCAGACTGGCGGAAGAAGGCGATCTCCGCGCGCACGACTGACTTCTGGCAGCCAGCTGCCCTCATGAGAACTGCACGACACGCCCTCGCAGCAGCACCCTTTCGTGGAGCAATCCTGGTCGCCGGTGGATTTGATGGCAAAAAAAGTTTAAGTGCTGTGGAGATGTTTACGCCACCAGACGCTAGGTGTCCCCACGGCCAGTGGACACAGCTGGCTGACATGAATCAGCCTCGCTGGGGGTTCATTCTTCTCGCCTTCGCTAACGCCGTCATTGCTCTCGGCAACAGTAATGCAGTACACAATTAAATGCATTCTTTCTTTTTTGTATTTTCTTTCATGCAATTTGATGTCCCCATCAGGCTAGCGTATTCTTAAAATGGCAAATGACTTAAAATATCTGGCATGTTGCCCTAGCTTCGATTGTAATCTGTGGCATGACGTTTGTGGTTTTGGCCAGATGTGGTTATGTAGCCGCATCTGAGGTTAACAAACACCAAGCACCTGTAATACGGGACCAATGGTTTTAAGACTTTTTTACAGGTGGTGTCGGGGAACGCACAAACGACGAGGTCAAATGATTGTATACAAAAGAAAAGCTATTAGACCTGTGCGGTTATACTTTGAGTGGTTGATAAATAGTTGCCCTAAACTCTAACCCAAACCCCTAACTCTAACCCTTGATTCCAACCCTTAACGGTAACCGTCAGCCTTAAACCCTAAACCCTAACGCCTAACCCCAACCCCTAACTCTAACTCTAGGCCCCAACTACTAACCCCTAAGCCCAAACCCCACTCCTAACCCTTACCCTTAACCGCAGCCCTAAACCCTAACCCCGAAACATGCAACACGAAAGTTAGAAGGAGACGACAGGTCAAAATTTAGGAAGGATCACCGGCATTGGGCCGAAAAAGGTAGACACGGCAACAAAGAAACAAGGCCGCCAACGGAACACACATCGAAATTCACAGAAACATCATATCAATATAATCATACTAACTCAAAATAATTAAACAGGTCAGAAGTATTGTGTTCATCAGGTGCGGCTACATAGTCACATCTTACCGAGGTTCTTTCCTGCGAACTGCACCATCAAAGCCAGAAGTACTCGCTTTATTGTGAATATAGCCCTTTCTTTTTTCTGATCTCTTTTCTGGTATCAGTTAAAAATAATAACATCCTTATGATTATTTAAAATTTGTAGGCGACGATGGCCAACCGAAAAACACGGTGGAGACTCTTACAGGACCAGCAGGTTCAGACGGCTTGGGCAATAACTTGACCACTTGGGTCTGGTCGTCCAAGAGCCCAGTGAAAACGCTTTACCAGATTCATGGAGCTGCAAGCCTTCGCATGTAAACTCACTCATTTCTGTTGAAGATAGAGTGGAGTCGCCTCGATTGAATGCACATTAAAAATGAACGACACGCAAATCAATCTGCCTTTGATTTGAATTTTGGAAAGGTTAGAAGGATGTTTGCGGTGTCGGACAAATGGGGCGACCGATCAGTGGCGAGTTGCGACTTTGGTGTAATAAAGTTAATGTATGTTACGTTGTGGACTAATTACTTTGTTTGAGGTGGGTGCTGTTTTGCTGATGCAATGCAAAATTATGGCACAAGCGCAAATCCAGAGGTTTTTCCGTTGCAATGATGGTCCCGAGTGCTGTTTATGAATCACTGCCATTTTAAGAACTGGAAATGCACTGCACGGTAAATACGCTTAGATACAGTTATTTCCAGGAAATGGTTGAATAGGGTGAATTTCGATCGTTAGGACAAGAACAGTGCTAGTCTAACGCCTCGTGTAAATGTCAGACCCTTAACTGTCGACTGCGACAGACGGGGAGATGATTTTGTCGTTAAGGAGAAGAAGATGGGATCGCTGGAACACGGTGTTTACTGGCCTGACGTTTCGGATTCTCACTAAAACCCATTATCAGAGACAGTTGCGAATAAAGTTAACTTTATCTTCAAAAGTCTCCGATTCTGTTGTTGTTGTTGTTGTTGTTGTTAATGATGAGGATTATGGTGATGATGATAATAATGGAGAGAAGAAGAAGAGAAGAAGAAGAGGCATGGGCAGGATCAGGATAACGAGGAGGAGAAGAAAGGAGGGTGGAAGTTGGAGGACAAGGAGGAGAGTGGAGGATACGATACGGGTGAGGAGGAGGAGGATAAGGGGGAGGCGGAGGATAAGGGAGAAAAGG